AGTCTGGATATTTTCTAGCCATTTTTTTTTCCAGGGGTGTGAAGTCCTTTTACATTTAATCCTTTACTCGTCTACAAGAGATTCTCCCAATCAAATCTTGATATCCCCTGTGCCCCTGAAAGTCAGTTCAGAAAGCAGGGGCTGGTTGGTATTAACCCAAGTGGCAGATAAATGTGTTCTTGCGTGTTCATGTTCCAAGGACTGCAATTGAAACACAGATATGCATTTGTTTGCCCCATCTTGTAAACTCAGTTAAATGGTTAGCAATATAAACAAGATGTATAAAACGAGAACAATCGCGACGGGACCGGTCTGCATGATGAGGATTATAGTTTGTTGCAGCAGGATGTGGCCGCCAGACTGGTTTTGTCTAATGTCCTTTGATTTAATCCAGAGAGATCTCTGCTTGTCCATGCTCTGTCATGGTAATATGCCCAGAGGACTCCTTCTTTAGTAGAATAATGGCAACGTTTTAATTTGTTTTAAAGAATATCTTCCTTTTTTTTGTTGTTGTATTTGATAAAGTTGAAATTCGATGCAGAATCCAATGACAGTATTCACACTTCGTACTGCTCAGTAGTTGTATACTTAATGTTTTAAGATGTCATCATCAAATAGTTTCTTTTTGCCTTTTTAAGGAAAAAAAATGCCGTTCTTTGGTTCTCAGCAGAATGTCTGTTGAGGGTAGCAACTTTTATTTATTTATTTTTTTTACTGGGTTTAATTGCTTTTTTAAGATGCTTGAAGTAATAGTACACTCTTTTTAGTTGGTGACAAAGCCCTGAAATGTGTTTTTCCTTTGTGGCCAGCATTTATAAAATTCAGTAGATGAGTGACAAAAGGGGAAATAAATCAGACTTCATGTGCTGTTGGCAGCCATGGATTTAAGAGATGTAAAGAGTAAGGAAAGAGGAAATGTAGCATCTGGAAAGGAACTCCAGGACATCCGGGGAGGGGACGGTACATGGTACATTAAGGGAGGTTGTGCTGCTTGACCTCTGACCCCTGACAAAGGATAGAAGCTGAAGACAGAAGACAGACTGCAGCTGTGTTCTAACATACAATCCCACAGTTGTCAATCACTGTAATTTGCCTGGACAGATTTGTCTCCACCCAGTTTGCAAACATGCCTCAAGAGAACGGCAAAAGTGATGGAAGCAAGAAAAGGGAGGGAGGTGAGATAAATGGAATATGGTGTAAGAAACAGAATATGGTAAATGGACTGTACTTATTTAGCACTTTTCTATCTTATCAAGTTACTCAAAGCGCTTTACACTACAATCTGTGCTTTCATTTACCCATTCATATAGTACTGTACTAGATCTGTACAAAGGGGCAGCTGTGGCTGAGTGGTTAGAGCAGTTGTATTCCAATGCAACAGTTGGGGGTTCAACTCCACCAGCAGTCACATGTCCAAGTGTCCTTGGGCAAGACACTGGACCCCTCATTGCCTCCGATGTGTGTCCCATCGGTGTATGAATGTGATAAAGCACTGATTTTTCTTTGTATAGGTCTAGTAGAGTGTTGTATGAATAGGTAAATGAGGGCATAGATTGTAGTGTAAAGAGCTTTGAGTATCTTGATAATATAGAAAGGTGTACAGATAGAAAAGTACAGTCCATTTATCATTAATCCGTGATTTAGATCACATTCATACACCGATGGGACAAACATTAGAGGCAATGAGAGGTACAGTGTCTTGCCCAGGGACACCTTGGCATGTGACTGCTGGTGGAATCAAACCTCCAACCCTTGCATTGGAGGATGACCCCTCTAACCACTCATCCACATTTGCCCATTTAACATAGTCAGCAAGGCTACTGCTTCAAACCAAGGTGCTCATCCAAGCAAACCAGTGTGTATTGTTTTGCGCTATTAGTGACTGGCGCATATCTTAGATCTTTTAGCGTACCGCTGGGTGTTCGTTTAGCGTATATCTAAGTTGATATCGTAGATCCTTATTTATTTTCTTTTTACACTTTATATTTTTGCTATTGTTGGATGTAACTGGGACTCTGTGTACACAATTTCGTTCCACTTCATGTACCACATGCGATGCGATTGACAATAAAGAACTTGATCCCTTGAATCTGTACACAATATGGGTTTCAATTCTCAGCTACAGTTTATCATGAGCATCACTAAACTAAAAACCTGTACCCAAACCATTGGCTCATTGCATCAATACTACCTCCCCCCCCCCACACACACACACACACTTTTGCACCTTTTCAATCTATTTGCTTCTTTTACCTGATTCCAAAGTTATTTGTTTCCTTACAGAGAGGATGCCACCTAATCATGCCACATTCTAAATATATGAAGATTTTTAACTGCTCTATGCAAAGGCTTCGAGTTTATCTAATGCAGAATTACACAGCGATATGAGACCTTGCAGCCTCACTTCGTTCCACCCCTCCGCCACCACCACAAGCAGCGGGTAGCTCCATTAGGCTCAACGCATTGCTCATTTTCCCGCAAGAGCTCCCTTGGGTTAAGAGGCAATTATGCAGCAGTGTGGCATAATATTTCATTCTCTTCACATTGCTTTGCTCTGTGATGGTGCTGGTCGCTAACAGCTTCATGTGGCCCAGGAGAAAGGGTGCGGCCTGCTAACAACTTCATATTAGTGGAAGGAGGCTGGAGAAGGAAGGAGGAGTAGGTGGTGGGAGGACAAAAGGAGCGTTCTCAAGGGCACAATGCTTCATTAGCAGTCAGGTCTGTTTTACCTGCGTACAGGAAGTGGGAGGGGTGTGGATGCATCTTAGTTTTGGTCCGGTCATGTTATGAACATGTCATCATTCAGGGCTTCACTCTCATTATATATGCTTTCATTTATTTGAGTTATATTGAAGAAACTTATTTAAGGCCATGCTTTCAAAAGCTTCACTTTCTATTTTCTCATGAAAGCAACTTTTACTCCACCTTTGGAGTGTCGGCGATAAACCTGGCTCCTGCATGGTCTTAAATATGTCATATGGAACAGCGGCCAGAAATCCTTCAAGGAGATGCTTATCTCTTGTAGATTATATGTGTGCATATATATATATATATATATATATATATATATA